TGACGACTTATTTCATTGATCTTTAGACTTCGCAAGAAGATTTAGAAATTACCCACATTGTTCTTGTCCAAGGAGAGCTTTTGAAGCCATGGACACTGCATGGCAATCTTTTCAAATGCTCAAAATTCTAAGTGCATCGTCAATGTATCGCCATTGCAACGTCTTTGTTTTTCTTACTTTCAACTTAATTTTTGTTTCATTTAGAGGTAATTTGTGTTTTTTAAAATTTCTAAACTGCTCCTCATTCAATTACAATTCTTCCGGCTTTTACAGATCTTAATTTGACCAATTAAATCATATGTAGTCACTTACGTAAGAATTAGTAGGTAGAACTCTATTTACGTAAAAAAATTAAATATATTTATTTTCATTTCTTATTCTAAAATTTATAAAAATTCATATTCTTTAAGAATAGTTTTAAAATATTACCCAATGTTATATTGCATTCATGTGATCAACTTAAAAAAATATATTATTTTAAAACTTTTATTAACTTAGAATTTATATATTTATTCAAAAATACTTTTAAATATCTAAAAATTAATATTTTTTAGTTTTATAAATTTTAAATTTACATAATTTACTATACAACGTCACTCCTCTCATCTCAATCATTCAAGAGACATGAGGGAGATGTGTGAGGAATGAGAGGTAGTGACATGGTTGTCACCTCATTTTGACCTAATTGGGGGTCGTGTTGGGAGAGAGAAAAAGTTGTCACCTCATCCCTTTTAACCCATTTGAGGGCCATGTACGAAGAGAGAGATTGAGAAATAAGAGGTTCAAACCATCACCTCCGAGATATATGGGCTCTTCTACATGTAGATCAAGATGCCTCCTTTTAATGGGTGGTTATCTTTTCCTATTTTATATAACTAATGTATGTATTTCCTTTTTTTGAAGAATGACGATGAAGTTACTCTCTCTTTCTTAATTATATTCTATCTTTCCATCAACTCTCTTACTCTTTCTTGGTCTCTTCTTTCTCTTCTATTACAAGTAAAATCTTTATAGAAAGAGATAAGAGTCAATTGTTGACTCTCTAGTGTGGGTCATCCCAAGGGCGTTGGGACATGGATTAGAGGTGTCTAGGGAAAGTTTTGTTCTCATCAAAATTCTTGATAGTTTTATGATTTCTCTTCTATTTTTTCTCATTAATAGCTAAAAATTGAGTTTATATTATTATTGTGATCTTATGATTCCATATTTATTCTTAAAATAATATTATACCATTTGTTTGATTATTTCTAGATTTACTATGACTTCTAAGGTGTATATTGATATCTAGAAGTTGAATAAGTCTTCTAACTTTAATCTTTTGAAACATTGTGTGTATGATGTGTTATTACAAATTGACTTATATAAGACTTTGGATAGACTAAAGTTAGACAAGATTAGTATTGATGATTGGAAGATAGTAAAAAAGAATGTCAAAAATTTTATTCGTACATATTTGTTTGATTAGGCTCTTCAATAAGTCATGGATGAATATAATCCAAAGTAACTTTGAAAGAAGTTGGAGAAGGAATGTGTACCAAGCCAATGATGAATAAATGAATATTGAAGGAAAAGTTATTTAGGTTACGTATGTCAAAAATAAATCATTTACATCTTAAACTGATTATTTTAATCAATTACTAAATGACTTGCTTTATATAAAATTGGATGTTCTAATAAGAATAAAGTTATTATTCTACTTATTTCTTTTCCTAATTCATATGATCATTTTTGTTATGATCTTGTTGCATTATAGTATAGCACCCATTCTTGAAGATGTTATTAATTTATTGTTCAAGTATTATCATTGAAAGAATGATATTTGTGAGGTTTGTAGTGAAGGTATATATGTGAAGGGTGGAAGAGAATGTAGAAGGCAAAAGGGAAGGGATCATTAGGGGACAAAGTTGGTCCAAGTCATGGATAAATTAGTTGAAAAAGCAAATTTATCACAAACATCGTGAAAAGAGGCACTTGTGAAAAGATTATCTAAAGAATTAGAGTGATAAGGCAATAAGAAGTGAAACTCATTCAACTAATGTGATGAACTCAAATTGGAGGTTAATTACGTCATCGTGATGTAATTAAGTTCATACAAATAATATTTATAAAACCTCACTCTTCTATTTAGGATAAGTAAGGGTCAATCTTCAGGGATCATGGGTAATGAGAGTACGAATTTTACTTATTTTATTTCTTATATAGATACAAATATATATACATGAGATTGTGAAAGGCAGAATTAAATACAAACCGGTGAACACAAGAGTTATGAAAAGCATGATAAAGGGGAGGGAATAGATCTAATACAATGGAATGATGAAATAAATGTTAAAACTAGTTCGAATTAAGAGTTAATCTATCCATAGAGAGGATTGTAAAGATGTCCCAAATCTAGATCTTGCACAAACCTCGTTGTGCGCCAATCTAAGGCCAAGTGATGCTCGATCCATGACGATTTTGATGCGCTCTCGATAATCTCTTCTCCATGATGACCTTGGGCACGAGAATGTCATTGTTCAGGCCTTGATTTCCCTCCTGTTTCTTTCAGCTAGCCATTGTTCGAGAGAGAGCCAAAAAAGCACCCTCTAAGAGGAGAGGCAAGATGTCTTCATCCTCTCGAGAGTTTGGTGCCTCCAATGGATGGTTATGATTAATAACCAACTCTCTTGAGGGATGGCCCAAATCATTCTATAAGGGCAGTGCTCTAATTCTTCTCTTAATCTCATCTTAAGACACCCTAAGATGGGCGGCCTAGATCTCATCTCTTGATAGACCTTTTAAGTCTAAATGTGCTAGGCCAAGGTGATGCCCTCTCTTTGGCCCATAAATATATTAGGTAGGCCCTTTCTATAAGACTTGGGCTTTTCATTTGGGTGAAGGCTTAGACTTCTTTCATCACTTCTAATTCATAATAAGAGCTCACCTAAGTTCTTGCAATAAAATAATTATCAAGAAAATATGAGAAAATCATCACTTAACTTCATAAAAGTTAAGTGAGGTTAGTCTCATAATATAAATAAAATAAGTAAAATAATATGTATTAAGACTTAAATGATAAAAAATTATGTAATAAGTTGATAACACATGTATAATTATATTATCTACTCATTAATTAGCATATATTTATTAGATATTAGTGTATAGATGTAACTACTAATTTGTAATTATCATAATGTTACAAAAATTGAGGACAGAGAAGATGATGAAATCTTTTCTAGATTGATTGTAGTTGATGAGTTGTCAAACATATAGATTCTTGATACTGATTGTTCTTTCATATGTGTTATAATACTGATTAGTTTGACTTATATATGAGTACAATGGGAATTGTTTTCATAAGAAATAATGTAGCTTGAGAAGTTGTTAACATTGGTTCGATGAAGGTTTGGATGTTTGATGGGGTGGTTTGAGACTTTGAAAATATTCATCATGTTTCAGTATTGCACCAGAATTTAATTTTGCTTAGAGTATATGAAGCGAATAAATATTTCTTCAAAGATGAAAATGAGATCCTCAAGCTTATTGTGATGAAGAGAAGATGTCAACGAATAAATATTTATTAACTTAAGGAGAGTATTATTATACATGGAACTTGTGCTATGAGAAAGGCTTTTCTATGGAAATTTTTCATTGTAAGTCTTATAGTATCGGTGACTATGTAAATCACACTACTTTTATTCGTCCCAATGTATGGCATAATGGGAACCAAATCAAGAAAATATAGTCCTTCACAAACCGTCAACTCAGATTTTAGTGGCAAATGAGCATCAAGATTTTCCTATGGTTCAGCCTCTTCTTATCCAACACTTTAAGAGATCCCTATTTGTTTCTAATGCACAATCATTATAGAAATACTGAGTTAGATATTCTCAACTTGCCTCTACATAGTATTTAGTGTATGATGCTTTGTGATACAATCACTGGTCACTAACCCTTCATTTAGAGTATTCTCAATGCATATCTCTAAAAGTACTCAACGCTCACAACACATACGTTTACAATAGCCAATGCTATGATGACCCCCTTAAAACAAGCAAATGAAGTAAACCTTGTAGATCAAAAGGTAGAGTACTCCGTTGTGTGATTATATATATGTAAAAATTGATTCTTCTGAAGCTTTTTGTTGTTGTGGCAATATATTTTCCTCGAAGATGTTTCTAAGAAGAAAGGTTTTCAGTGCAAGTAGATCAAATATTGAATCTTAAAGGTAATCATGACATATGAAATAAATGTCATATTTGAGGGTACAAGAATAGTCTAGATGAGATAAGTATGTCAATGACGATCACAACATATGGTTAGCTTAGTCACTTGCATTAATTATTGGTTTTCATAATTTTTTGATATGACGATATTAAATATTGAGTTTAAGAGGGTACAAAAATTTTGAGGCACCTAGAATCGAATATTATCAAAGAAATAATAGTAGGAGTTATTTTGTGATAATTTGAGTAATCATCACACTAAAAGGGCGAGAAGATTATTACTTAAAGCCTAAGTATATAGGAATATGATGAGTACACATTTAATACTCTACTTATGTATTTTCATATGATGATTTATGAATTGAATCATTTTCCTATTTTCTACTAGGATGAGAGCATCAAGATAAAAGAGAAGAGAAATATATGATTAATAGTTGTTGGAGGAAAGAGGATTAATAGATAATCATGATGCATAGCATGAGCATACATATATTCCTAATTTCATCATGGATGATTGAATAATTAGTGAACATAAAAGGTAAAAATGTAAAGTTGACTTGTTATTTTTGCAGATTGAGAGGAGCATAAAGGGAATGCCTACAATAGGGCATACGAGTCCAAAAGAGGGCCAGCCGCCAGCTGGGAGCCTCATTCACGATCAGCCCTTCCTTCCTTTGGCGCGTCCCTCTTTTACTGTGGGGATGGCCTGCTCCTCCTCTCTCCTTTGGCACGTCCCTCTCTTACCGAGGGGACGGCCTGCTCCTCCTCCCTCCTTTGGTGCGTCCCTCTCTTACAATGGGGACGGCCTACTCCTCTCTCCCTTGGCACCACCTACAGCACACCATAGGTGGGCCAGCTCATCCCTTCCCCCCTTTCCAGTGGTGACAGCGCCGGCAACGATCGCGGGTCTCCTCCCTTGACGCAGCAAGAAGAGGATCAACTGAAGATGCCCCTACGTGAGGCTGCCGTCCTCTCCCCACGTTCGTCAGAACAAGAGGGAGAAATCATTTTCGTTTTATTTCTAGACTTTTATGTAATCGAATATTTTTTATCCTAGTTAATGCAATCTGAATTTTATGAAGTTCTATTCCCCTTTACCTCATCCATTTCGAATAGTCGACGTCATCAAAGGAAGCGGGAAACCATCCCTGCCAGCCATCTATAATTTCTTTACGAGGTGGCTGGTGGAACCTTGAGAGAAATCTTCCCTAGTTCTGAATTACTTCCTCTCCATAATTTCTATGTTCGTGGTTGCTGAATTTCAGAGAGTAAACAAATCAGAATATGAGTATTAATTAATAAACATCAACTAATTCAACACTCTCCTTATGTTTGACTTAGTTTTTCACTAATTCATCAAGAAACTATTCCTACGAAAATCAGTTTATAAATTTAAAATTGACGATCTTAATAACGACTCAAGAGTGATCATTTTGGTACTTTATTTTGAATTATTTCAGGTTAAAAGAAGTGTAAACAAGGTGTGACAGGTCATATTATTTGGCCTCAAAAAACTAGACCCATGTTCATGTGTCTCTCTTATGTTAAAGGAATTTGGCTCGTGTTTTTCACTTTCCTGTTCTGCTTTTAGAGTGATCAATCCTATTTTTCCATAATTTATTAATTTTAATGGCAAGATTTTTACTCTTTGTTACATGCATAACACAAGTGAGGCGCAACCAATTTAAAGACAATCATCACCTCTTGTATGGTTCTAAATTCAATAGGACATTTAACTCTAAGCTCATTGTTGATAACTAAGGTTGTCACATCATATATTTTTCTTTACCTTTTCAATAACTTACTATACACTTTTTTATGTAGACGTGCTTGAAAAGTTGATGTAAGAGTACAAAAGGTTGGTATTTAATATCTCAATCTAAGGTTAAGCTTCATTATTCATTATATGTTCATAGATAGAAATAGTACTACCCTATATTGACCAAGCCTAGTAAAAAAACAAAAAATCATACAAACTCAAAAGTATACATGCATGTCTATATATGATTATTTCTTCACTTTATTTTGAAAGATAAATGTCCAAAGTGTTATGTCAATCTAATTGATTCAAAAGGTCAGTCAAACCAATGTTGATTCACAATTTTGATGGTGATATTGTTTAAAATCTTAGTCTTAATTACCCATATTGTATATTTATTTGTTTATAATGGATTAATTATTATTTTAGTAGGTAGACATTACATAGTTTAGGTTTCCTCATGACTAAAACTTTTGATCATCAGACGTTATCTACATAGTTTAAGCCTCTCATAGTTTCGTATATCTACTAGACATTCTAAGCAACTTAATTATCCTTATAATTTAGAATCAATGCATTATTGAATGAAAGGCTTTCACAGCTAAATTATTTGCCACTCTAGAAAAAGTCCAAGATGGAGCACAAAAAATTTAATCTTGCAAGATGGTTGAAATATGTGAAGAAGGGAATTGTTGAGATATGACTCATATCTTATTTGGGTTTTCACAAGGTGGACTGTCAATGACCACTAATGTACACTTGTTGTTGTGTTTAGATGCACATTATCTAATAATATTTATCACTAAAACTTAATAAAATATTAGTATAGAAATAAGTCTGAAGTCAAATATAAGAAGATTAATTAATCTATCGTGAAAACTAATTTAGTTTATATATAAATTAGTTTCAATATTTTATTACTATTTAATTGAAATAATAAAATAGAAAGATAAGATGAGAAGAATAAGGGAAGGGGAGCAAAGAAAGGAAGGAAGAAAAGAGAGAGAAAGAGAGCTCTCACAAAAGAGAGAAAAAGAGAGAAGAAGAGAGAAATCTCACATGAGATAGAGAGAGAGAAAGGTCTCATGAGAGAGAGAGATCTTACAAGATACGGAGAGAGAAGAAGAGGTCTCATGAGAGAGGGAGAGAGATAAATAAGATGATAATAAAGAAAGAGAGAAATATGGTCAAATAATTTTCATAGTGACTATTATTCTCAGATAAATGTGTGCTCTAAAATTCACACACGTGACATGAGGTCAGCCATGAATGTCTCCACCTTATTTTAACTATTCAACAATCATTAAGCAACATTTAATCTCGTTGATTTCACATTTGAAAATAGAAAGATATCTACTATTATTTGCAAAACACCGAGAACATAAATTTATCAAGATTTAACTTTAAAAATCAATAGAAAATAAGTCAGAAATAATCTTAGTTTGATCTCAGATGAGTTTCAGAGGATTCAAAAGAAGAATGAAGACCATTTATCAAGTTTTGAATTAGTTCTACTCATTTCAATTGAAATATAAATAAAATAGAAATAATTTCTATGAAATGTAAATAAATACTAAAAGCACATAAATAAATGATAAAAGTAGAAAATAAATTGTTGTCCAAGTTTAGTGATAAGTCTTCATTATCATGAGTTAATAATTAGTAAATAATATAGTTTTAGCCTTAACTCATGATAAATAGACTTATATTTGTGTTAAAGTGTGAAAAGTGGTTTTCAGTTGATTAATGTGAATTTTTGGGTAATTATGTGATTTTATATGATTTTTATAATCTTACTTTTAGGATAAATGAAGAAAAAGAAATTAAAATAAAAATATAGCAAAATGAGGGGGGCCTGCCAGCCAGCCGGGCTTGCAAGCGGGCCGGAAGCACAGTCAGGCAGGAGCTCGAGCGGCTTGAACTGATGGGGGCACATGTGCACCACTCCCCTTCCACGTCACCGGTGGCCAATGGGCTATGGGGCAAGGAGTGGTTGTATATGTGCGAGAAAGGGACTTGATCAGGAATGTAATATTACTTTATATTCGCACGAAACTTCCACACACAACTAATGTGGGACTAAACCCCGTCATCTTTTCCAAAAAGGGCGGGCAACCGGTAGGGGTTTGAATCCTCCCAGAGCCAAAATTCATATTTTTTATTTGATTATCGCAACTTTCCTGCAGATCGCTGGTGAAGGATTAAGCAATCAGAATCGCTCGATTATTGGTGAAAATCTCATCAACGCGATTTGCGGAGTATTGTTACTAAAATTATTGAACGATTCGTGATAAAAGGATCGCGAATCAATTGAGTAAAGCATCTCCAATTGATCGACGAATAAGTCGTCGTCGGGAAGAGGACGATCTGTCGAGAGATGAGTCGCCACCTCCTAAGAGCGTACCGGATATGATGAAGAGCCTCCTCTTGTTACGCAGACTTGAGGATGAAGCTCCCTAACACGTGCCCCACCTCCATCCAGCTCCTCTCCGTCAGGTGACAGCCGCCAGAGAGCCGTAAAGTCATCGTTTTTCCGCTCTGCCGGATGACAGCCGCTGGAGATGATTTGATGACCCATTTCATTGATCTCTAGACTTCACAAGGAGATCTAGAGATTGTCCACATCGTCCTTGTCCAAGGAGAGCCTTCGAGGCCGTGGACACTGCATGACTATCCTCCCGAACGCTCAGGATTCCAGTGCATCACCAACGCATCGCTGTCGCGACGCCGGAACTCTATTTTCCTACTTTCAACTTACTATATGCTTTATTTAGTGATAATTTGTGTGATTTTAATTTACCAAAATATACTTCGTTCAATTAAGATTCTTTCGGCTTTAATAGATCTTAATTTGATCAATTAAATCGTCTGTAATCGCTTATGTAAGAATCGTCCGACGAAACTCTATTTCCGCCCGATTTGCGTTCGCTGGACGCTGATGTCATCTTGACATCTACACCCTTATTTCCCTTTTTTGTGAATTTTAAATATATTTATTTTTTATTTACTAGTATAAAATTCATAGAAAATAGTATTCTTTGAGAAAAATTCTGAATAATTATCAGCTATTATATTACATCCTTGTGATTGACCTAAAAAATTATCACTATTTTTGGAAGTTTTATTGAATCAGACTTGATATATTTGTTCAGAAATACTTCTAAATATCTAAAAATTCGTATTTTCTAGTTTTATAAATTTTAAATTTACGTGATTTACAATACAACGATTGAGTCACATCATTTAGCCTACCTCTTGGACAATTAGAGACACCGATGTGATGGCTTAGTTTCATTTAGATATGCCACACCATGTAAGAAGCCACAAAAGTATTGTGTAAAAGTATTATGTCATTTACTAGAGAGATCTATCGAAAGAAGGATCGACCATGTTGTTATTATCATCTGGAGGAAGAAGGGAAGAGCTTACCACTCGTTAGAGGCTTCGAGTGTAGTTAGAGGAGAAAGGAACGAACTCGTTGATCATCAAAGGTATTGAACATGCAAAAGTAGGGAAGAATTAAGTTTGGTATTCACGACTATCATTAGGATTTGAAAGATAATTGATAATATATATATTACCAAATAATAAATGATTATTATCTTTACATCCCTCATGGTGATATGTGTGAGAACCTATGTTTCTAATATCATGGTGCTTCACTAGCCACTAGATCAAATGTGCTTGGTCACGTGGTATGCTGAGTGACACAAGATCAACTTGTCACAAATCACTATCAATCAAAAACTTAAGTTCATGGTACCGTGGTGCCTTGTTAGTCATTGGATCATCATTTCTGGCCACATGCATGTTGAGTGACGTCGGATTAGCAAATTGCTGATGGATTGCTTTATGTAGCTGATATCGTGGCTACTTACCCACTACATGATCTGGCTTATCTGATGATGTGACTTGCTGAACACAACTAGATGACACCACGTTCCAAACAACGGCCTTGAAACACATGAGAAACTTTAGTCCCATATCAGAAATATTTCAACAATTAAGCTAAATATAAATCAAAGTAATAGTCTATTAGTAGATATCCCTTCTCCTGAAATAAAATAATGTTCAAGACCATCTTGAGAGAAGGTAAAAGGTGGTCTACTCTCGTATGCACACGTGTGTACGACACTCCTTGCTCCACGACTATTTGGTCACCAAGACGTGCTAGGGGAGTGACGCACACATGTACAAAGCGAGTCCGCCACTTGAGCCCAGCTCGTGGCTCCCTTGGTCAGGGTCTATCCACTCGACCACAACACCCCTCTAGGTCAGCTATTGAGTGCTAGCTTGCTAGTAGGCAAAATATTTTTATATTTATTATTTTATTTTAATAATAAAAAATTATACTAAGTATTTTAAGTTCAAACTTCAAAAATTAACATTATATTCCTATCTTTATTCTACAAGTTAAAAAATAAAATAAAATAATAAATTAAATTAAAACATAAAAATCTAGCTTTAACAATCACTCGATCATAGACCAGCCTAACAAATAGAGTGAGAGGCTCCAAAATCTTCAATCTTTTAGTTTACGTTAGAGATCATTGTTGTAAATTATCATTGGATTGATAGGTTATGGTTTTATACCTAGTTGATGTTTGAGTTTTGTCCCGCATGTGTTTACTCTTGGCAGCCCTGCCCCTCATTCATGCAACAATTGGATATCAAGTCCCAAGGACAAATCTCAAGCATTTATTTCCCCTACTTGTCAATAGCTCTCTCTTGTCTCTATTGATCAGTAACCCCGACCCTTTATCCTAACTAAATATCAACATGGGCCAAAGAGTAGTATCGTGGACAAAAGCTTACTTGATCACAAACCACACTCTATTGACAAGGTTGAAACAAAGTAGTTATAAATATCTAAATTGGAAAACTTGATTGGTAGTTTAAATTAGGTCATAGTAGTCTTGTAAATGAGGGTGCTTATTGACATGACTTAATCATTGTATAATAAATCACACAAATTTCAAATTTATAAAACTAAAAAATATCAATTTTTAGATATTTAGAAGTATTTATGAATAAATATATAAACTTTAATTTAATAAAAGTTTCAAAAAAAATTATACATTTTCTAAGTTGATCATAAGGATGTAATATAATATCAAGTAATGTTGTAAAAAATAATTCAAAGAATATAATTTTTTATGAATTTTAGACTATAAAATAAAAAT